ACAAACAAACAAAAAACCACAATTGCTTTTGCCCCAACCTACTATTTCATTAGAAGCTTCAGCAGGCCAAAGGCTCCACATGGGGCACACGGGGCATCCGTAGTAGCCCTGGTTCCTGTTAACGCCCCCACTCCCCAGCCAGGCTGGGCCCCCAGGGATCCCACTGGATTGCAGGCTCTGACACCAGGCCCTGGCTGGAGCTGTCTTGCTCACTCTTGCACCCATCCCTGGGGAACAGCACAATAAATATTTGTAGAATGAATGCCCCGGGAAGGCTTGATGTGCTCCTAAAACTCATGTAGAACATCCTTGGTGTTCTGCTAGAATGTTCTAGCTAAATTTATACTGACCTCTGAAACATCTATAGGTCTTTTATTTTTACTTTTTTGCTTGAGACAGGGTCTCACTCTGTCACCCAGGCTGGAATGCAGTGGCATGATAATAGCTCGCTGCAGCCTCGACCTCCCAGGTTGAAGCAATCCTCCCACCTCAGCCTCCCAAGTAGCTGGTACTACAGGTATGTACCACCACGCCTGGCTGATTTTTAATTTTTTTTTGTAAAGATGGGGGTCTTCCTATGTTGTCTAGGCTGGTCTCAAACTGCTGAGCTCAAGAGAGCCTCCCATCTTGGCATCCCAAAGTTCTGGGATTGCAGGCTGAGCCACTGCGCCTGGCGTGTCTTGCTGTAATATGTAATAGAGCCAGGACTTACTACAGTGTTAGACCGAGGAATCTCCCGCTGGGCTCAGGGCAGTGCTGACACTCGGCAGTGGGCCTGCTTAACTATTCCTGGAACACGCTCCAATTCAATTTCCAGACTCCACTCACACACCTTGGGACTAGTTCAATGAGCTCAGGTGCCTGCTACATAAATAACTTTTTTTTTTTTTTTTTTTTAAACGGAGTCTCACTCTGTCACCAGGCTGGAGCGCAGTGGTGCAATCTTGTCTCACTGCAACTTTCGCCTCCTGGGTTCGAGTGATTCTCCTGCCGCAGCCTCCCGAGTAGTTGGGACTACAGGCACTTGCCACTATGCCCAGCTAAATTTTGTATTTTTATTAAAACAGGGTTTCACCACGTTGGCCAGGATGGTCTTGATCTCCTGCCCTTGTGATTCGCCCGCCTCAGCCTCCCAAAGTGCTGGGATTACAGGCATGAGCCACCACGTCTGGCTGATAACATATTTTATATTATATAGTTATAAATATAGCCATGGGGCCGGGCGCGGTGGCTCAAGCCTGTAATCCTAGCACTTTGGGAGGCCGAGACGGGCGGATCATGAGGTCAGGAGATCGAGACCATCCTGGCTAACATGGTGAAACCCCGTCTCTACTAAAAAATATAAAAAACTAGCCAGGCGCGGTGGCGGGCGCCTGTAGTCCCAGCTACTCGGGAGGCTGAGGCAGGAGAATGGCGTGAACCTGGGAGGCGGAGCTTGCAGTGAGCTGAGATCCGGCCACTGCACTCCAGCCTGGGCGACAGAGCGAGACTTCGTCTCAAAAAAAAAAAATAAATAAATAAAAAAATAAATAAATAAATAAATATAGCCATGGGCCGGCTATAATATAACTGAGTATTGCAACCATATAATATCAGCAGGGCCTGTTACAGGAGCCCAAAGTCTTACTTAGTATTCTAATAGCCCACAGGAGGCTGCAGCAATGACGCCCATCTGGCTCTAATATCGGAGGCGCAGGGCTGCAATACAAGATAACCGAGACCTGCCCTGTTTTCACACGGTAGGTCTGATGCCTGTCTTTTTAGGTTTTTGCTTTGAGATAGGGTCTGGCTCTGTCGCCCAGGCTGGAGTGCAGTGGTGTCATCCTAGCCTGCTATAGACTTGGACCTCTGGGCTTAAGTGATCCTCCTGCCTCAGCCTCCCGAATAGCTGGGACTACAGACCCAACTGAATTTTTTTTTTTTTTTGGAGATGGGGTCTCACTCTGTCACCCAGGCTACAGTGCAGTGGCATGATCTCGTCTCACTGCAACCTCCGCCTCCTGGGTTCAAGCGATTCTCCTGCCTCAGCCTCCTGAATAGCTGGGACTACCACGTCTGGCTAATGTTAATATTTATAGTAGAGATGGAGTTTCACCATATTGACCAGGCTGGTTTCGAACTCCTGACCTCGTGATCTGCCTTGGCCTCCCAAAGTGCTGGGATTACAGATATGAGCCACCGTGCCTGGCTTAATTATCATTATTATTATTATTGTTTTAATAGAGACAGGAGTCTCCCTATGTTGCTCAGGCTGGTCTCTAACTCCTGGCTCAAGCGATCCTTCTGCCCTGGCTTCCCTAAGTATTGGGATTACAGGTGTGAGCCACAGCACCTGGCCTGACTGCTATCATTATAAACCCAGAACCGTACTATAAAAGCTAACTTTCCTGTGAAAAGGCAATGCCATTGGGGCCCCCTATAAGTATTCGACAGAATATTCTAGAAACATGCTAACACAGACTCAACATCCCGTGGCAAACCACCAGGGCTTGCTATAATGGAGCCAGGATTCTGCAATCATACAATAAATATTAAAACAAAAACCATGGGTCCATTACAGCAAGGGCTGCCTTCCAGAGGCCCTGGTCCTTAAGCCTGACCAAGGGGCCCCAGGGGATGCTGTAACATGACACTATGGGGCCTTTCTCCAACAGCAGGCTGAGGGCCCCCCGCATTGTTACTTTCCAGTGTACACTTAATCAGGACAGTTCTATCCCATTATCACACATGAGCATTTTTTTTTTTTTTTTTTTTTTTTTTTGAGACTGAGTCGCCCTCTGTTGCCCAGGTGGAGTGTAATCTCGGCTCACTGCAACCTCCACCTCCCGGGTTCAAGTGATTCTCCTGCCTCAGCCTCCTGAGTAACTGGGACTACAGGTGCACGCTATCACACAGGCTAACTTTTGTATTTTTAGTAGAGACATGGTTTCGCCACACTGGCCAGGGTGGTCTTAAGCTCCTGACCTCAAGTAATCCGCCTGCCTCGACCTTCCGAAGTGCTGGGATTACAGCCATGAGCCACAGGACCCGGCACACATGAGCATATTGATCCTCCCAATAGGGCAGGGAGGCAAGAAGCCATTTAACAGATTAGGAAACTGAGGCTCTGTGGTGGAGGAGTGGGTCTCTTTTCCAAGGCGACACACGGCTAGGGAGCTGCAGGGCCAGAAGCTGGAACAGAGCCTTGGTGGGTCTCTGTTGCATCTGGGGCCTCCGGCTCAGCTTTACTGCTTCCAGTTATTGAGGCCCTGAAGCCTAGGGGTCAAGGTCCGCCCAGTGAAAATGTGGCAACTTCACATCATTAATTCCTTCACGACCATCCATTTTCCCATCAGGAAGGACGCTGGTGTTGAGGCGGACGTACGTTATCAAGGACAGTAACCACCATGGCTTCTGAAGTTTTGCCAAAACTTCAGATGTGTGGCCTTCTGGCCAAGCATCTGTGACTTCATATTGCTGAAGCATTATGGTATCCCTGGGGGCTGCAGCTTTCTATACGTTTGCTGTAGCTGAACCAAAAAAGAAGGCATATGCAGATTTCTACAGAAATTATGATTCCATGAAAGATTTTGAGATGAGGAAGGCTGGTGTATATATATATATATATTTTATTTTTTATTTTTTTTGAGATGGAGTCTCACTATGCTGCACAGACTGGAGTGCAGTGGTGCGATCTTAGCTCACTGCAACTTCTACTGCCTGGGTTCAAGTGATTTTCCTGCCTCAACCTACGGAGTAGCTGGGATTACAGGTGCCTGCCACCAGGCCCAGCTAATTTTTGTATTTTTAGTAGAGACGGGGTTTCACCATCTTGGTCAGGCTGGTCTTGAACTCCTGACCTCGTGATCCACCCACCTTGGCCTCCCAAAGTGCTGGGATTACAGGCGTGAGACACTGCACCTGGCCGGAAGGCTGGTATCTTTCAGAGTGCAATTATCTTGGAATATAAAGAATTTCTTCAGGTTGAATTACCTAGAAGTTTGTCACTGACTTGTTCCTGAACTATGACACATGAATATGTGGACTAAGAAATAGTTTCTCTTGGCCAGGCATGGTGGCTCACGCCTGTAATCCCAGCACTTTGGGAGGCCAACACAGGTGGATCATGAGGTCAGGAGTTTGAGACTAGCCTGGCCAACATGGTGAAAAATTTACTACAATTTTTCTCTACTAAAAATTTAAAAATTAGCTGGGTGTGGTGGCGCACATCTGTAAACCTAGCTACTCAGGAGATGGAGGCAGGAGAATGGCTTTAACCTGGGAGGCGGAGGTTGCGATGAGCCAAGATTGTGCCATTGCACTCCAGCCTGGGCGACAGAGCAAGACTCTGCCTCAAAAACAAAATAAAATTAAAAAATGAAAAGAACCTATAGTCCTTATCCCCACTCTTCAGGTGCAAGGCCTGTCGAGGGGTTCCAGGGGGTCTTTTAAACTTGGTCTTTGCATCCACCAGGCCCAGCAGAGGTCCTTCCCCAGCACACACTCTGACCCCAGCACACAACCTGACGCAATGGGGTGCCAAGGAGACGCCCCAACAATCGAGGAGGAAACCGGGGAGCTGGGCTGTTGTTGTAAACACAGCCGCCCCACCCGAACGGAAACACCTGCGGCCGAGGGGAGGGGGCCGTGACCTCCCATCCCCCTCTGGGTCTCCGTCCCCTCCCTCTGGAGTCCACACTCCCCCTTTGCCCCTTGCTGGATCTCTACTGCCCCCAGCATAGGGTGGGGTGGGTGTGCAGTTTCTGCGACTCAGGGCGTCGTCCCCCCAACCTGTCCCTGCCCCTTCCTGCCCTCTTTGATGCGGCCCCACTTCCTCTGGCAGGAACCCCCGCCCTCCCTGGACCTGGGTATAAGGCAGGGACTGGGCCCACAGGGAGGCGGCGTCCCCGAGACAGCAGCAGCAGCAGCGGCTCCTCTCCCCATGGCCCTGTCTCCCAACCCTTGTACCAGTGCTGGGCTCAGACCCTGGTACAGGCCTGGGGGACAGGGACCTGGGGACCCCGGCACCGGCAGGCCTGAAGGGGTGAGGTCAGTGGGCATTCAGACCTCCCTTCCCTGTACCCCCATCTCTGCTGCGGCTTTGATGCAGGTCTCTCCCCTTTGGGTCCCACAGACCCTCTGGTGCGCTCCTGCCTTGCTGCCTCCCCACCCCACGCCTGTCATCCCACCTCTGTGATGCGCAAAGTGCACCTGTTTCTATCGTACCTGCCTCTCCCGGTGGTCTCTGTGCTCTCCCCAGCTCTGCAAAACCCTTCCTCCCCATATGCCACAACCCTGGGCCACCGTGTCTGTCCTGCCCTGTTCCTCCCAAGGCCCCCATCTCTGTGGCCTCTGGGTGTTGGGCCATCTCCAGGCGCTTCCTACTCACTCCCTTCCCAGCAGCCTGGGCCCCGGTGCCACTGGGCGGGCTCCAGGGCAGCGTCATGATGCCACTTGCCCACACCACCAATCTCCTTACTTCGATTTTGAGGCAGCCGGTGCAAAGGAAGTTTCTAGAATCTGAGATCTGGAACTCAGCTACTCACTGGGACTCCAGGTGGAGGACTTGGCCTCTCCCAGGTGACTTTCCTCATATGCAAATAGGCATGGTGCCCAACTAGTAGTGGGTGGTGGGTGCATGGGGCCCCCTCCTTGGCTATAAGCAGGGATAGGAGGCCTAGGCTGAACTCAAGAGCTTTACAGTTCACAGCCAGACAACAGACTCAGCACGTCGCACTCTACTTGGGTGAGTCCATGCCCACAGCAGGCGGGCTGCAGCTTCCCCTCCTCCCCACCCGAGGTGGTCAGGAAAGAGACAGACTAGGGCCTGGAGGACCCAGGGGCCTCCGCCCTCACTCACTTCCTCCCCAGAGACCGGAGGGGGCGGGAGGACAGCACACCAGGTAATCAGCCTTATTCAGACACCGAAAAGGTGACAAGGACCAAAAAAGGAGACCCAGGGGAAGACAGCCATCTCAGGCTCCACTGTCCTCACCCACAGACACACGCTGGAGGCCTCTCTGACAGCAGCCTTGCTCAATTCCCCGAGGGACACCCCCATCCCCCCAGTGCTCTGGTAAAGGCACAGAGATCCCAAGTCTGGCCTGGGAATGAGAAAATAACTTTATTTCATTGTGGGGAGCGGGCCGATGTCCAGACTCAGAACTTCTGGAACTGCTTCTTGGTGCCGGCAGCCTTGGTGACCTTGAGCACATTGAAGCGCACTGTCTTGCTCAGGGGCCGACACTCACCCACTGTGACGATGTCACCGATCTGGACGTCCCTGTGGAGGCAGGTAGGGCCATGTCCTCAGGAGGGGCTACCCCGGCGGACTCCAGGAGGCCCTCCCTCCCCTTCGCCAGGCTGAAGGCTCTCTGCTTTGGCTCCACCAAACCCCAACCAAGATCTATTTGCCAATTCAACCTCCCTCTCATTCTTTGGTACAAACTTTGTGCCAAGTACCAAGCTCAACGCTGTACACAGAGCAGGCGACCACCCTTCTGAGGACTGCTGGGGTGGACGAGCTCCATTTCACAACCAAACTGGAGGCCCCCAGGTTGTCAGTGGCCTCACCACCCCACTCCAGCAGAGCAGCAGGGGGATCCTGTAGCACCCACGACCACAGGCCCCTTATCGCTCAGCATCAGTTCAGGCCACCCTCCTCCCTGCCCACAGGACTTTTCACCTTGCTCCCAAGATCCTCCCGCCCAGAGGTCCACCATTATCAGCTGCCCACATCCCCACCCTCATTGTACCTGGCTGACATCTGGCACCCACCCTGCCTGAAGGTGCCCTCTGAGGAAGCAGGACTTTGTCCCTGGCTCACCACTGAACCCCCAGCATCTCACACCAAACCTGGCACGTGATAAGCTCTAAATAAAACATGCTGAGGGAATGAACAAACATTTAATTCCAACATTTCTGAGGTTCCCATGTGGTGTAACCTTTTGGTTCCAAGGCACCTGTCTATTACAGGTTCAGCACCCCAATCCAAAAACTCTGAAATGCTGCAAAATCTGAATTTTGTGTGTGTGTCTGAGAGAGACAGGGTCTTACTCTGTTGCCCAGGCTGGAGAGTAGTGGTGCCATCTCGGCTCACTGCAGCCTCCACTTTCTGGGCTCAAGCAATCCTCCCACCCCAGCCTCCTGAGGACCTGAGACTACAGGCACATGCTACCACACCTGGCAAACTGTTGTACTTTCTGTAGAGGGTTTTGCCATGTGCCCAGGCTGGTCTCAAACTCCTGGGCTCAAGGGATCCTCCTGCCTCAGCCTCCTACAGTGCTAGGATTACTGGCTTGAGCCCGGTGCCTAGCTAAAATCAGACACTTTTTGCGTACCAGCACACCTTTGCTTTCCCATGGTTCAATGTATGCAAACTTTGTTTCACACACACAATTATAAAATGTACTGCGTAAGATTACTTTCAGGCTGTGTGAATAAGATGGACATGAAACAAATGAGCTTCGTGTTTAGACCTATGTCATATGTCACATCCCCAAAACATCTCATTATGCATATGAGAACATTCCAAAATCTGGTCCCAAGCGTTTCAGACAGAGATATTCAACCTGTGGAACACTTTGATTCTGAAGAACATATAATATAAAAATCCTGAGACTCTGGGGCTTCCCAGAGATGCCACCTCAGTCACCCACTCCCTCAGTTGGCCTTAAATTGGCCTGAGCTGGAATCTGAAGGCTGCGAGAGTGTGGTCTGAGCAACCTGATGGGCCACTGTGCTCACCTGAAGCAGGGGGACAGGTGCACAGACATGTTCTTGTGGCGCTTCTCGAAGCGGTTGTACTTGCGGATGTAGTGCAGGTAGTCTCGGCGGATGACAATGGTCCTCTGCATCTTCATCTTCGTCACCACACCTAGGAGCAGGGGCAGATCCTAGGTCAAGTCCCATGGGAAAGAGGGCCATGGGTAACCTGGGGCATGCTGGAAGTCAGCAGCAGCTGAACAGGAATCCCAAAAAGCCCTGTTTCCGGCATCAGTTTTAACCAAGTGGCTTTCTCAGCAGTGCCCACGTGGGCATCTGAAGACCATCGTGAAAACCGACATCATCTGCCAATGCCCCTGCCTGTACCCACAAGTTTGCATTCCCAACCACCTCTCTCACCCAGGACCCAGGAGTCTGGGCCCCAAGCCTCTTCTTTCAGTATTTCAGGCCCCAGACACCAAGAACTCCCGCACTTACCAGAGAGGATCCGCCCTCGAATGGAGACATTACCAGTGAAGGGGCATTTCTTGTCGATGTAAGTGCCCTCAATAGCCTGAACGGATAGGAAAGAGAAAGGAGTCAGCCTGGGGCAGGCGGTTCCTGAAAAGAGCCGGGGGCGTGGCCCCAGGGAAGCGAACTACAATTCCCATCAGCCCCGGGACCAGCCACTCAGACATGGGCAGTGCAACTCGATGTAGACACACGTGCAGGGACGGCAGGGTCCCCTTCTTTCTTCTGAGGTTCCCCGCACCTCTTTGGGTGTCTTGAAGCCCAGACCGATGTTCTTGTAGTACCGCGGGAGCTTCTCCTTGCCAGTTTCTCCCAGCAGGACCCTCTTCTTGTTTTGAAAGATGGTCGGCTGCTTTTGGTAGGCACGCTCTGTCTAGAGGTGTGAGAAAACTGATGAGCTGCTAAGTTTGAAGCCGGCAACAACCAGCCCTAGAGACCTTCCCAGAACCTCCCAGACCCCATTCTCTACATTTACTTGCAAAGCGCTGGCCTCCAAGGCCTGGTGCCCCAGAATCACCCTCTAAGACACGACCACCCCGACCTTACCTGTAATTCATCCTCAGATCTAAGCCCGAGGTTATTTCAATTTATATACTCCAGAAGGCCTCCCAGGGCTTGCAAAATTCATCCTCTCAACCAGGACCACCCCTCTCACACCCTGGACATCTTTCAGCGAGGATCACTCTCCAAGACCCAAGGTCGCCCACCCAGGATTCACTCCTTATGTAGTACATAAAGACTCAGAATTAAATACCAAACGGCAGGCTCCTTGGATTCGCCCTTAGGAGTCCTTTTCCACAGAATTAACCCTTAAGACCGGAAAACTCCAAGGAAACCTTCTTAAACTTGGTTTTTAAGAAGATAAGTCCTAAAACGCTTGAGCCTCCATTAACGCCCGGAGCCCCCAGGAATTAGGAAGCACTCGTCTAGAAACAGGCAAAAGCATGCGCCCTCCGCCCCAGCTAATCTGAAGAAAATAATCACAGACGCCCGGAATTAACCCCCGAACTTGGGCGCCCGGCTCTGCCCTCCCGGATGCGCCCCTGAAGGCCAGGGCGGACCCCGCAGCCTGACACCAAGCCTGGAGCCCGCACCTGAATGTCCGCCATCTTCCTGGCCGCCTGAAAAAAGAAAGTTGCAGGGGCGTCCGGGTTTCCTTATCGACTACGCAGGGGCTGGAGAGGAAGTTACGTAAGGAGCGGCGTACACGGCCTTGGGCGGGGCCTCGAGCGCGACTCTGATTGACAGGCTGCACTTCAACCAGCAGACGATTCGGGGACCGTGAAGTACTGACGGGCGGGAAGTGGTGGATACTGTCTCGCGAGAGTCTTAGGCCCCACGGCGCCGAGCGCGATTATTCAGGCTGGTAAGATGTGACCAGCCTTCAGCCCGCCCGTATTATCGCGAGAGTCGTACGGAGTCCGTCCTGTTTCTGCGCGGCGTAGGCTCCCGTAGGATTTGGATACCGCGTGGCTGTGTTCGTTCGGCCTTCAAACTGGATGAGGCGGCGGCCATCTTTTTGAAGGGCAGGCCGCCGGAGAGTGCTAGGAGCATGTGTGGCGGTGTCGCCATCTTTGTTAGGGGCAGGAGCTGCCCACGAGCTTTCAGAAGTGCAATGAAAGTTACTCTCGCCGAGTGCAGTGGCCGCGCCTGTAGTCCCAACACTTTGGGAGGTCGAGGCAGGAGGATCGCTTGAGCCGGGGAGGTCATGGCTGCAGTGAGCTATGATTGCGCCACTGCATTCCAGCCTGGGCGACGGAGCGAGCCCGATTCAAAAAAAAGAAAAAAAAAAAAAAAAAAGAGAAAGCAAGCTACTCTCCTCATTTCGTCCGCAGACGGTGATTTAATTGATGCCGGGGTTGGGGTGGAGTGATCCTTCTGCTGGTTTTCTGTCGATAACAGGATCGTCTAGTAGAACTTTATGTGATGGAAATTTTCTATATCTGCGCTGGTGGATACGGTAGTGACTGGCACTCGAAACGTGACTTTTATGACTCAGGACCTAATTTTTGTTTTTGTTTTTGTTTTTTTTAGATGGAGCCTTGCCGTGTTACCCAGGATGGAGTGCAGTGGCGCGATATGAGCTCACTGCAACCTCCGCCTCCTGGATTCAAGCGATTCTCCTGCCTCAGCTTCTTGAGTAGCTAGGATTACAGGCACGTGCCACCACGCCGGGCTAATTTTTGTATTTTTTTTTTTTTTTTTTGAGACGGAGCCTCACTCTGTCGCCCAGACTGGAGTGCAGTGGCGCGATCTCGACTCACTGCAAGCTCCGCCTCCCGGGTTCACGCCATTCTCCTGCCTCAGCCTCCTGAGTAGCTGGGACTACAGGCGCCCGCCACCACGCCCGGCTAATTTTTTGTATATTTCAGTGGAGACGGGGTTTCACCGTGTTAGCCAGGATGGTCTCGATCTCCTGATCTTGTGATCCGCCCGTCTCGGCCTCCCAAAGTGCTGGGATTACAGGCTTGAGCCACCGCGCCCGGCCTAATTTTTGTATTTTTAGTAGAGATGGGGTTTTGCTATGTTGGCCAGGCTGGTCTCGAACTCATGGCTTCAGGTGATTCACCCGCCTCAGCCTCCGAAAGTGCTGGGATTACAGGCATGAGCCACCGCACCCAGCCGAGGACTTAAAATTTTAAATTTGACTGTGTTATATCTAAATAGCCACATGGGGCTAAAGGCTGCTGTGTTGAACAGCGCATGTCTATAGCTGAATAATGACAGTATTTTATGTATTTTTAGAGACTCCCTAGGGTCTCTCTCTGTCGCCCAGGTTAGAGTGCAGTGGCTCAATCATAGCTAACTGCAACCTCGACCTCCCCAGCCTCAGGTAGTCCTCCCAACTCAGCCTCCCAAGTAGCTGGGACTACATGTGTGTGTCACCATGCCCAGCTAATTTATTTTTAGTAGAGACAAGGTCTCGCCATGTTACCCAGATTGGTCTCGAACTAGTGATTCTCTGGCCTCGGCCCCCGAAAGTTCTGGGAACACGTGTGAGACGGCACCCAGCCTCCTCTATTCATATTTAAGTGCTCAGTACCCACAGGTGGGGTCAGTGGCTTGTGTATTGTCTATCATTTAGTGCAGCTATAGAACATTTTAATAATAATTTTTTAAAAAAGGCCGGGCGTGCTGGCTCACACCTGTAATCCCAGCACTTTGGGAGGCCGAGGCGGGCGGATCACGAGGTCAGGAGATCGAGACCATCCTGGCTAAAACAGTGAAGCCCCTTCTCTACTAAAAATGCAAAAACAATTAGCCGGGCGAGGTGGCGGGCGCCTGTAGTCCCAGCTACCTGAGAGGCTGAGGCAGGAGAATGACGTGAACCTGGGAGGCGGAGCTTGCAGTGAGCCGAGATCGTGCCACGGCACTCCAGCCTGGGCGACTGAGCGAGACTCCGTCTCAAAAAAAAATCGAGGCCGGGTGTGGTGGTTTTGGGAGGCCGAAGTGGGCGGATCACGAGGTCAGGAGTTCGAGACCAGTCTGGCCAACATGGTGAAACCCCGTCTCTACTAAAAATATAAAAATTAGCCGGGCGTGGTAGCACGAACCTGTAGTCCCAGCTACTTGGGAGGCTGAGGTAGGAGAATCATTGGAATCCGGGAGGCAGAGGTTGCAGTGAGCTGAGATCATGCCACTGCACTCCAGCCTGGGTGACAGAGTGAGACTCCATCTCCCAAAAAAAAAAAAAAAAAAAAAAAACAACAAAAAACCAAGTTTTGCTGGACAGTGCTGTTATAGACAGAGGTTTTCTCTGTGTGTGTGTGTGTATGTGTGTGTTATCTCAAAAGTCTTGGTGCTTTTTTATTTTTATTTTATTTTATTTTTGAGATGGAGTCTCGCTCTGGCCCAGGCTGGAGTGCAGTGGCACAATCTCGACTCAGTGCAACTTCCGCCTCCTGGGTTCAAGTGATTCTCCTGCTTCAGCCTCCAGAGCAGTTGGGATTACAGGCATGCGCCACCATGCCTAATATTTTGTATTTTTAATAGAGATGGGGTTTCGCCATGTTGGCCAGGCTTGTCTCCAACTCCTGACCTCAAGTGATCCACCTGCCGCGGCCTCCCAAAGTGCTGGGATTATAAGTGTGAGCCACTGTGCCTGGCCGTATTTATTTAATTTTAAACAGGATCTCATCTCACTCTGTTGACCAAGCTCTAGTGCAGTAGTGTGATCACATCTCACTACAGCCTCAACCTCCCTGACTCAAGCAATCCTCCCACCTCAGAATCCCAAGTAGCTGGAACCACAGGCACCCACCAACATGTTCAGCTTAATATTTTTGGTAGATATGGGGTCTGTCTGTATTGCCCAGACTGGTCTTGAATTCTTGGGCTCAAGGGATCTTCCCGCCTCAGCCTCTTGAGTAGCTGGGACCACAGGCATATGCCAACCATGCCTGGCTAATTTTTTTTTTTTTTTTTTTTTTTTTTGGGCCGAAGTCTCACTCTGTCGCCCAGGCTGGAGTGCAGTGGCGCGATCTTGGCTCACTGCAAGCTCCGCCTCCCGGGTTCACGCCATTCTCCTGCCTCAGCCTCCCGAGTAGCTGGGACTACAGGCGCCCGCCACCTCGCCCGGCTAATTTTTTGTATTTTTTAGTAGAGACGGGGTTTCACCGTGTTAGCCAGGATGCTCTCGATCTCCTGACCTCGTGATCCGCCCGTCTCGGCCTCCCAAAGTGCTGGGATTACAGGCTTGAGCCACCGCGCCCGGCTAGATTATGCTTTAAAGCAGGGGGCGGTGGCTCATGCCTGTAATCCCAGCACTTTGGGAGGCCGAGGCGGGCGGATCACGAGGTCAGCTGATAGAGACCATCCTGGTGAACACGGTGAAACTGAAAGAGACACGGTGAAACTATCTCTACCGAAAATACAAAAAAATTAGCCGGGCGTGGTGGCGGGCGCCTGTAGTCCCAGCTTCTAGGGAGGCTGAGGCAGGAGAATGGTGGCGGGAGGTGGCGGAGCTTGCCCCGCTGCACTCCAGCCTGGGCGACAGAGCAAGACTCCGTCTCAAAAAACAAAGAAAAAGATTATGTTTTAAGTCTGAGTATTCCTGGAGCAGGCTTTGCTGGTGAACGGGAACCCATGTGGGGACTCTGGCAGGGGTAGGCACCACCCATGTTCACTGATTCTCAGGGAAAACACAAGCCACTGTGGTTCCTCAGATTTTTCTGGAAAGGTTAATAAGCCCACGATGGAATGGTGTGGCAAGTTAAAATCTGTCAGCATAGCACTGTCCGCTCATCTTTCTCCGGGGTTATGTTGCACATGTAGTATACAACTACCAAAGGGTTATCCCTGAGTCTTGGCATCCAGTTGCCAAGGACAGACAGCATGAATCTAGCTTCCTTTACTTCACAGCATGTTTACCTTTCGTGTTTAGGCTGAGTGTGGTGAAGTCCTGGGTATGACGTATTACGTGACCTGACTGCTGGACATCAGTAAAATGGGAATGGGGCCCACCCCAGCAAGCTTTGACCTGGGACATTTTATTAAATTGCTACCAAGTACTAAATGCTCCGTATCAATGCCGTTTCCAGGATTCAGACTGGCAGACCTAATGGGTTTCGTGCATAAAGCCTAGCATTATGTTATTCCAGTGCTTATCATTTGCAAAATGCTTGTTTCTACAGACTGCTGGGACTACATCAGCCTGGCAGTGGGGGATGGGTCCTTACTTTGCAGCTGAATTAGAATGAGTTTTACATTAACTGGAAAGCACCAGGTACTGCCAACCACAATTACTTGGTTTGTAAATGGTGTATATAAAGGATAATTCAATTTAGGGCAAGTCACAATTTTTTTTTTTTTTTGAGGCGGAGTCTTGCTCTGTTGCCCAGGATGGAGTGCGGTGGCACTATCTCGGCTCACTGCAAGCTCCGCCTCCTGGGTTCACGCCATTCTCCTGCCTCAGCCTCCCGAGTAGCTGGGACTACAGGCGCTTGCCACCACGCCCGGCTAATTTTTTTGTATTTTTAGTAGAGATGGGGTTTCACCGTGTTAGCTAGGATGGTCTCGATCTCCTGACCTCGTGATCCACCCATCTCGGCCTCCCAAAGTGCTGGGATTACAGGCTTGAGCCACCGCGCCCGGCCTACAATTTTTTTGTGTATTAGCACAGCCTGTTCTACCCTCTTCAAGCTCCTCACCCCCCGTTTGCCAGGGGCCTGCCTCCACAGCAGACACAGTGCAAAGACGCCAGATTTCTTTAAAATCAATTTATTTATCATTACAAAATACAGGTGAGGAGCA